TTTTTGGGTATCCTGGCAATTGCAAGTCATAACAAAAAATAACTTTTTAGAGACCAGACAGCAGAAGAAAAAAAAGTACAAACCTGATGTCAACCCATCCTACTTGGTCAGACAGGCAGAAAGGGTGCATGATAGACCCCCTCAGTTAAAGGTTTTGACTGGCAAGATTTAGGAAGAGCTCTATTGCGCCCATCCTGTGGAACATCTTACCTTCAGAGGTGAGACCTTCTGGATTTCTAGAAAAGCATAAGACTCTGGCTCTGCCAATTGGCATGGAGGCAGAGGTGGGATTCACTTACCTTCTCTACCAGTTTGCAAATGTAAGTGCACATGCCACCTCTGTGCGTGCCAATGGTGGGTTGCCCCCGGTTCGGACCGGTTCGCAAGAACCAGTAGTAAAACTGGCAGGAGGTTTTGCCCACCAACCCGGATATCATCAGGAAGCTTCTGCACATGTGCAGAAGCTTCTGTGCATGTGCAGAACTGTATGTGGTCCCGTTGCGAACCGGTAGTAAAGGTACATAGAACCCACCCCTGGTGCATGCACATGGCCTTCTGCGCATGCGCAGTAGCCGCACATTACATCCGGGTGGGTGGGCGGAGCCTCCTGCAGTCGCTGCTACCAGTTCACGCGATCTGGAGAGAACCAGCTGAATCCCACCACTGCATGGAGGGGTGTCTAAGAGTAATATGCAACCCTGAAGGCACTCCCCTAAACTTTTTAACCTTTTAACCTTTAAATTTCTAACCACTAATTATAACTTGGTTTTAATTCTATTTTAACTCTATTTTTATTTTTTTATTATTTTTTTTACATTGCTGTATGTTTTTTATTTTTAAACTACCCAGAGTCACTTAGATGATGTGAGCATTGTAGAAATTTGATAAAATAAATAAATAATATTTGCACTTGCAAAATGAAACAAAACATTATAATATCAGATATATTAAAGGAAAAATTTGAATAATGAAGCCAGTAATATCAACACCATCAGAAATGATGCTGTTTCTATGTCTAAAATATGTTAATGAAGGCATGGAACAAATTTCATCTAAAAACAAAGTACAGAATGTGGAACTACAAATGAGAGGCCAAGAGAATAATTTTGAAAAAGACTTTTTATTGGATAAACTGGCTGAAGTTTTAAAAATTAAATGGAAAATAAAAATGATAAACCAAGGGAATAACTTGGAAAATATTTTCTTATTGGTTCTACAAAAGAGGGTTCTTAAAACCTTGACAAAGTCTGTGTGATGAGATAAAGAATTGAAGAGAAACCAAATACTTGATATACAGCAATATTTTATTGAATTAATGTTTAAGATTGTTAGAAGTAAAGGGAAAGAATATTAGAAGTTAAAAATAATATCAAATACAAACAATATCTGATTGAATTAAAAATTAAGATCCTTGCAAGTAAAAGAAAGGAAGACATAAATAATGCTTTATTTGATAAAGGTTAAAACAAGATATATTGTTACTTCCGGCAACCCATTATGGATATATATATATGCTAATAACAGAATTGAAAAAAATAGTAATTTTATTAAAGTTTATAATTACAATAACAATTAATACAAAGTGAAAAAAGAAAAAGAAGAAACAACAGGAAGAAAAGGGGGAAAGGAAAGGGAGGTAGGATAAAGTGGGTTTATTTGATCAAGATTAAAACAAGATCTGTTGTTACTTCTGGCAACCTTTTATGGACTTTCTGTTGATTGTTGATTTTATGGATTTGCTTATAGATAAGGGATTGCTAGTATCTGTAATTCAAAAGGGGCTGTAGTGTTACTAAATTTGTTTATATTTGTGCTGAAGGTTGGAAGTCCCTGTTTATATATTTTTTCTTTATTATATTCTTTCTTTTTCTACTTGCTTTTTTCTTGCATGCATGATTCTTTTTTCTCTCCTCTTTCTCTAAGTTTAGTTTGTATTAGTTTTTACTACTGAAATCAAGATTCTTAATAAAAATTCTATTTATCTTAAAAAGGACTTCTACTACAGATCATACACTTTCTGTTCAATCTGCTTGATGAACTTCTGTCTGGAAAGCATAATTTAAAATAGTCCAACAGAAAGTCCATATAAGATATTAAGAGAAGTTGCCACCATTCAGTTGCTTCTATCTCAATCTATTTCAATTCCTGAGGAAAGTCACATTGTACTCCTAATATATGGTTTACTTAAACCTGATTTACTGTGTGGTTTATATGATACATGAGCATATTATTCTGCAAACCACAGCTTATCTTCACATAGTTAGTGAGAACACAGTGTCCTCATCTGGAAGAAAGGAGGAATAAAAGTATTTTTCAAGATATTTCTTAGTCATTCAAAAGAAATCAATGTTCTTAACAAAAGGACCGTACTAGACAATGTAAGACTATTAAGATCATTTTCAATCACTTGAATCATACTTTCCTCCGTCTTCAAATCTGCTTGAAGGTGGTTTTCTTCAACTTCATGCTCAGCCATAACTTATAATTTTTCTCATTGTTGCCTCTGAAGCCATTTAGATGTCAAACAAAGAAAGATTTATGAGTTTTATTTTCCAACTCTGTTGCTAGAGCAGTCAAAACAACACAGGGAAAAGGATAAACCCTTCATTCCTCCGTCCTTCATGCTTCTGGCAAAACTTCCAAAAAACAACTGACGTATCTCTTTGATGTAGAGAATTGTGTGCAGATAAGACTCACATATCTTGCCAAGAAAAGCAAATATGCTGAGTCACACATGCATCCATTTTAGATGTTTGCTAAGTAATGCCTGAAACCAGTCACCTTAAAATTAGTCCTCCATCTGTCAAATGATAAGATGAATTCTGTTCCATTCAGTAGTGTTGCATAGAACAAATGGCTTAAATATCATTCATATACATACACACATAAAAGTACACATACAGACAGGCATTCTTCTATCTGAGGCTTTGTGTTCACTGAGAATAATACAGTCATATAACCTATTTTAAAGAGAGGAATACAACTTTACCTATCAAGAATGGAAGGCTGCTCTTTTATATTTCTATAGACATATACAGTTGTTGATGAAATCCACCTGTATTAAAACATTTTTTTCCCAATCTTATCTTCCAGTATCAAAAATGAATTGGGCTTTGTTACTGAATTCTTTCATTTCCCCCTTTTTAATTTTATAACAAGATTCACACATGAGTTTAAGTCATAGATTGAATAACTGTTGCCTTCTGAGTATAACCATAATTAGCTGGTTCATGCTATATGCTAAGTTATAAATCATGATATATTTACTGTGGCTAAATTCAAAAGGTACACTAAGCAAAAACCAAACAAACCCACATTGCAATTTATCCAGTCTATGAACTGTATGTAGATTGGCATCTGTGTTAAACTTCATTATAACTGTGATGAATTGCAAACCAGAGTTTCAAGCTAATTTTTTTATAATAATAGCTTTACGGATGAATTAATAAGGGCGAGTTACTTATCAATAGAGCTATTATTGTAATAATATGGCTCTATAGCTATAAAACATATGCTCATCTTTAATGCATAATGATCGAAAATCATATTAACAAAATTTTTATATTACCCCCAAATGTGTCAACTAACAGGATAGGATAAAATCATATGAGTTAGAATAAAGCAATTGTTTAAAAAACAAACTTGCTTCTTAATCACTGCCAGAAAAGCACTTTTTGCTTTGTGCTTCAGACAGACACCTTCACAGTTCACATTCTCCTAATCTCAGAGGGAACAGTGGTGGAAATGCCAGTCAGTTGTCTGCGCTGATGATCTCCCATTTTCCTGGTGGATCAAAAACACCTGTACTCCTCCAAATTCCCAGTTCAGACCACATAAATTGGATTAATTAATCTGACTTTTATTTTAGCATGGTTTATTTATTTTCTTCAGGTAGTTGCACCTTGGTCTTGGTTGAACTTAAAAAAAAACCCTCAGAGTTGGATTTTATTAGTATTTGTATGAGAGACCAGCAGAAAATCCCAAGGTGCAGGATAGATTGGAACTAAAAGGAAGAAAAATCCAATTACTTCTATGAGGTAGCAGAAAAGCATATGGACACATTTCTTGGAGTCAAGCCTGATTCAAAAGACTATTTGATCTAAATTAGAGAAATAGATTGTTATTCTACCCTACAACAATCCCCAAAATGAATTTCTTCACATTAATACAGTCCTCTATGATTCCTTATTTTCAAATAAGAGAACTATTTTTCACAGCTCAGTAATCCATAGTTTGTCTTAGTGATCTTATTGAATTTTTTTGGCATCACTTCTGATTTCCGTATAAAGCAGCTTTCATTGCATAATTTGATGGTGTGGAATGTATCTCTATTTTATGTTTATCCCAAAGTTCTGATGTCTGATCAGGGTTTATTTATTTGTATTCATTTTTTGGGAAGATTAGAGAAAGTTTAAATTGCTATCAATTATTTTTTTCCATTTCCAGTCTTTTCCATTATTACATAGAATCAAAATTAAAATGGAAAACTAAGATGGCTTAAAGTTTAACATTTAAAGCAGAAATGTATTATCAAGAAAATAGTCTGTTCATCTTCTATGCCTCCATGTGTCATTCAGCTTCCATTGAAATACTTCAGCAGAATATCAACTGTTGTTGTTTCTGACTCATGCTATGTTGTCCGCTACAGATTTGGATGATTTCTATGGAAATGTGTTGACCAACTCCCCAATACATAACCATGGTAATAAGCTGCATGGATTCCTCAGAAGGGAACTAGGCTGGAAATGAAATTCCAAGCTATTTCTGATTCTCAGCCTAATCTAACTCTATTCATAAATTATCAGCAGAATGATATATAAGTAGTACCCAATTCTGATTTACTATTGAAGGAGACTGGCTGGGTCAAAAGACAATTCACAGCTTTTAACAAGAGCATGTCCTTATTAGGCTCAGCAGTCAGTTTGATTCCCTTTAGCAGGAAAACACCAAAGGAGAAAGATGTTCTCTTTGTAGGCTTCAATTTGTAGGCTGAAATAACATCCAGAGCCATACTGTTCTATTGCTTATTTTGCTTTTTGAACTTGAATACTGCAGGAGAGGAATTTTGGCTGTTCAGAAAGCAAGCAACCATATAAGAGATCATTATGATAACTGTTTAGTCCCTCTTTGGGATAAACAAGGAGGAAAGAAGACTCTCCATTTTATTAAGAAGAAAAAACTTTGCTTTGACACGAAGTCTCCTACTGCTCCTACCACAAGATCCCACCCTCTTGGCAACTGTCCCTTAACAACAACTGACACTGACTGTCTTCAAGAGGGGAGTGAACTGATTAGCTACAGGAAGAAATGTGAAGTTCACCAGCAGCTGAAAGGGAGAAGAGGAGACAGAAGGCAACTGTATCACAGACGCGAATGCATCACTTCATGTACTGAAAGGCAGAAGAAATCTTAGCATTTTTTTAAAAGTATGTTAATTTTTATAAAAGCAAGGATTTTGGATTGAGGCTTTTGTCCTAGTGTCATTGTTTTATTGTTATTTATATTATTGGTTTCAGCCCTTTTGCTCTCCCATTTCCCTCTTGGAAATCTGCACAAGAGGGAGGCAGAGGTCAGGGAGATGCATTGACCAGTTTCTATGGGTAGATGTCATAGCAGAGCTCTCAAGTCAACCTTCTGGACTTGAAGTTACAAAGCAACAATTCTGCAAGGAGGAGGCTGACAGCTCTCTTTTGGAGTGAACTAAGATGAGTGGGTAGATCTCCTGCACAAGAGACCCCAATCAAGCATCCTTTCTCTGAGTCCAGAAGACAAAGGGGCAGAGTGCTGATTCCTGAAGAACAAACTTTTGGCCATGTGGGTCTTCTGATTCAGCATAGGACAGCTACTGAGGCATATTTCCCCTTCCCTCCCGGGAGCCTGGGGTGGGTGGACTGGGGTAAAGAAGTGAGTGATTTAGACAAGAAGCATCTGGCTGTGGCTGCGGCTGCAGCAGCTGCAGCTGCTAATTCAATCCTCTGAACCAAGGCTGCTGGTTGCACCTGAATCAAAGATTTCCCTTCTCAAGGAAGGAAAAGGTAAGTGATGAGCTTTGTATCTTTATTACACCTTGGAACAATGGCTCCCAGCGATAATGAATGTTTCAAAAGGAAGACATTTAAAGACTTTTTAAGTAAGGAGTGTTTGTGTGTGTGTGTGTGTGTGTGTGTGTGTGTGTGTGTGTGAGAGAGAGAGAGAGAGAGAGAGAGAGAATTTAGATTTGCAAAATTTGTTGCTGGGTTCATAACTTAACCATTCAGGAATGACAAAAAAGTGGGAAAGAACAGGGGCTTGCAATTACAATTCCTCCTATAAATGCTGTGCATTTGTTTGCTTTGGATGCTCATGACAGAGCAATAGTCCTAAGGAAGGGAAATCCAGCTATTTGGGCTCAATGCAAACCCACTCTCCTTCCATCTCTCTGCATGTCAGTTTTGGATGGATCACTTTTATTCTCACTGTGTGTTTTTAGTACCACCGTTTTATGGATGTATGCTATTGAAACAATAACTGCTTCCCACTACACTTTGACTATAGGCATAGAATCATGACATGGAACTAAAACCATTAAGGGTTCAGAACTACTGTAGATTAAAGGCACAATAAATAAAACTGGAAGATATGTTACCTAAGGATCCATAATAGTGGGTCAGTTATTTCCATTATTATAAATTAAATGGAATAAGGAGATGAATAAAGGTTCCACAAAAAAGGAGAAACGGGCACTTGTTTTAGAAAGTAAACCAACTATCTACTGGCTCACTGAGTAACTCAACTGAGAATTATTCTCTTTTTGCATCATCAGCTTCATGTTTTCTAGAAAACTAGCTGAAGTGTTTGAAAGAAAATACTGCCACTGAACTTGTGGGAAAGGTTGTGATCTAATAAATTGCCATCAAAAGTAAAGTCATGGAATTAAAAATAGAAGGGGGGGACGGTGACAGAAATTAAACTTGTAGCAATTAAATACTCACTCATTCTTCCTTTACCTCTTCGATGCATCACAAATGCACACACACAGCCCCCAAACATTAACTGAATCACTTAAGCAGAAAAGCAGAAAAACAGAGAGGTGAGAAATGGGAGGATAGGCATGGTGACTAAGCTATCTTCAAGTATGGCTTCTCATTTTTTTATTGGGCTTTTCAGAGGCCACACAAAAAGGCTGCAGCAGTCAATGTGCTGAAGGATCTGAATTGCTTTTGTAGTAGGTAGGGTGCACTTTTGGAATCAATAACAGAGCAAATGGAATTGGACAGTCAAAATGAATACAAAGCAATGCTAATTAAACTGTAATAAGAAGGGCTTTTTCCCATTCTGCATGGATCTTTCTATTTTTTATTTGATATTTTACTATCTATACTATACCTCATAAGATAGTAAGGAGTGCAGTTGGTGCTTAGACACTGGGAGGAATCAGGCAATCTCAGTTTAATAGGTAAGTACCATTATCATTACTGACTTTACTGATCTGGGGCAAATCATTCATTAGTGCTTTGTCACATCTAAAAATCATATTGCAGAGGAACATTGAAAAGGGATAAGTTGCTGCTATTATTTTTAAGAGCTGCAGGTTCAAAACTGCATGAGGCGATGCAAAATGTTTAAATTATGAATTCAGCACATTGCTGTTGAGCTGAAATGTATTTATAGCAATGAAAGGTCCAAATCCTGAAGATAAAAGTATCAGCAGCTGGTTAGGACATAACCAGCAATTCTGCAGAATATACTGTTAAGGTTTGCATTTTGTATCTAGGGAGAGAACATTTCAAATCAAAAGGATTAGATGAATGTGTTAAGTATTTTAAACAAAGCACAAACAACTGTTACAGTGAGGTTGAAGAGCAGAAAACAGCTTTAAAATGGACTTTTGATTTCCTGAAATTCAGTATTTGGAGTAGATAATATCTTAAGGTCTGACCCCTGAAACCTTCTCTGTGTGAATTTAAACAAAGATAAAATACTTTTTTACAAAAAAAAAAAAAAAAAAACTGAGTGGGAGGCAAGAAAAAGATTTGATCCAAATATTTTTATTCAGAAATTTGATCACTCCTATAAATATATAGGAGAAAACATTATGACAAGATCATAGTTGGAAGGCAGAAATCCTAAGAGAGACCTATGAATAGATTTACAAATAACATGGAAGTAAATCTATGTTTGCCATTGGCTGTATTCTTTTAAAAATGGTTTTCTGATAAGGATATCAGCATGATACTAACATTTTTATTTTAATTAAGTGTTGCACCTTATGATTCTTAATGAACATATCTTTTCTTTTATGTACACTGAGAGCATATGCACCAAGACAAATTCCTTGTGTGTCCAATCACACTTGGCCAATAAAATTCTATTCTGTTCTGTTCTGTTCTGTTCTGTTCTATTCTAATTGTACATTTAATACGTTTTAGATGCATATATCTAAAAATATAAAATATAAAAATATTTATAAAAATATAAAAGCTGGGTTCTATAATTATTAGTTGAGGGTTTGATCTTTCTGTTAGACAGAATTGTGAGAGATGTTGCCTAACCACAAAGTTGTTGCTTAAGAACGATTTATGAATGAGGATGTGCAAAAATTTCATGTGGGAACACACTACATGTTCACTAGAAACTAACAGATATGATAGCAAAGGATTTTTAAAGAACAAACTATAGCAAAGACCATAACAGCTAAAGACTAAATAATAAATAATAAAGGGTCTAAAATCTCCATCTGGTCCATTAGGATCAGAAAGCCTATGTTTTCTAAATTCTGAAGAATCTTGATGTGTCTGCTAATCAAGCCTGCGTTATCATAACTGCCTCTTTCTTTTGAATAAGAAAACAGCTTGGTAAGGGAGAGATTGCTGACAAGTGATTAAGGTGATTAAATGGTTAGTTTTAAAAGCTTTAATTATCTGATGACCTTGTTTATGAGCAACGAGAGGCCCTTTGTAAAAAGAAAATTGGGTCTTAATTGGGATTGAGGTTGCAATCAGAAGCATATTGATTGAGGAATAGATCTACTAAAATGGGACCTCCTTCCAAATAAACATGTTTTACCAAGCCTATTTGACATTTTCTGGTCTGTACTCCTTAGAGATATTTGATGGTCTGCACCCAGGTTTTTCATTCCACATCTTCATTCTCATCAAATGATTCCAGCCAGTATGAAAGGCTATATCAACACCAGGCTTAGACAACAAGCCAGTCACAAAAGGATTAACAAATGTCTATGGAGATTCTCAGATAACCCCTTGAAATGATCAAACTGACCCTTCCCCCTCGTCAATCATTGATGCATGAAAAGCATCTTTCAATTAGTGCCCTGGGCCAAGTTTCTTCTGCTCATATATAAAATAAACAACTTTCAACTATTCCATACAAAAGAAAGACTCTCTCTGCTCTACATCCCATATCTTTATTTCATGCTGTGTGCATTTGTCTGGTGGTATGAAAAAAAAAAATCTGGGGAGTTATGAGGTGGTGATGCTACAAGGCTACTAATACCTTCTTGCATTTTAAAAACCCATATATAATAAAAGACAGATTAGGGATCACCATGAAGAAGATCTATCTATGTCAGAAGTCTTCAAACTTGGCAGGTTTAAGCCTTGAGGACTTCAACTCCCAGAATTCTCCAGCCAGCTATGCTACGTTGGAGAATTCTGGGAGTTGAAGTGCACAAGTCTTAAAGCTGCCAAGTTTGGGGACCCCTGATCTATGTGGTCACTAAGAGTTGATAACAACTTGGTGCAATAAAGTCACACTAAATTAGTAGCACATCTTTTGGAAGCTATGACACCTGAACCTCTGTGGGGAGAGAAGGAAGCAATGGTTGGATTGAGTCCAGGGAGTAGGAGATACAGTGGATCAAGAGGTCCATCAGTAGAAGATAAGCCTGCATGTGCGTTTCGGGTGCATTACAGTGCCAGACACACCATAGTTTATGGAGAAAGGAATCAGTTTCTGAACATAGTTAAACTTTGCAGATATCCAGAACAGATTTTGTACTGATAAAGTGACTACTTGTGGAATTGTCCTAAATTAGTCTGGGATGACAAGAATTATTTTCAATTCAAAAAGACAATAAATGAATAGCTAGTAATCAGACGCCTTTCCATAACATTAAAATACTCCTGGCTGACTCATCATTCAAGCCCACTTGGTGAAATGACATTCAAAATGAGGGACTGTCTCTTCTCTCATATTGCATTTTAAAATGCTGAAAAGGATGCAATTGATTTAAATAAAATTTAATTGCCTGAAAGTCTATATAACCCAAGTCAATCCAATTCACAAAACGTTGTGAATCTAATGTAGTCTGGAATACTCTCTGAAATAAGAATTACAAATTCTTACATATTCTGATTTTTATATAGCATTAACCGTAGTACTATACTATACCAAAAATATCTAGATAACATTCTGGGTTTATTCAGGGATTATAAACAATACTTATAGGGCCATCAGTTGAATTTTCTTTCCCCCACATGACATTTGCTAAGATTTCTTTTTCCTCCCTTAGTGATGTTTACTGTTTTGCTACTGATACTTAGAAATGGTAGAACATGAGTTTACATGTTTAACTACTATAAACCACAATTAAGCTACATTTAGTCCACCATTAACCACTAGTGGTGTATGCATTGATGTTACTCCATGTGCTTGCCTTTCCCACACAATATACCTTCTCCAGGATTCTTAGCTGAAAGATATTTGTCGAAATAAAGCATCCAAAGATACCTATTATCTGCAAAAAGATAATATTGGATTTCACTGTCACTGAAAAGCATTAGTATGATGAGGATGTTTGGTCACACAGTTACCCAGATGTTTAGAATGTTTAGAATGGCTTTGACATTTTCATCCACCTACCAAGTCTTTCCCAAAGACCTATAAATGTTATTGTTTGATGGTACTAAAAGTATTACTGCAGGACGGAACTTAAACGTAAAACAATAAAATTGGAAGGAATCTTAGAGGTCTTCTAACCCAGTGGTCGGCAAACCACGGCTCGTGAGCCACATGCGGCTCTTTGGCCCCTTGAGTGTGGCTCTTCCACAAAATACCAAAAAGTCCACAAAGTGTCGAAAAGTCCTTCAGCCAGTGAGAAGAAAGCATGCGCGAAGATGGCAGCAGTGACCATGTTTTCGGTGTTGTGCGCCAGTGGCTGGGTAGAAAAGAAGCCTCTCGGCTTCCAAGTTCAGCAGCAGGCTCAGTCCCTTCACACAGGGTTGCTTTTCTCCATGCCCGAAAAAGATCAAAAGGCGCAGAGCAGCCTTTAATTAGGTAAAAGAAAACAAACCACTGAGGGAAGGAGCCCACTGAAGCTGCCGGCAGTGCAGCCTCCCCCCCCCTCCCCACAGCTTGGAGCTCCAAGCAGAAGAAGTCCTCGGCTGTTGCAAAGAAGCAGCAGCTCTGGGTGCGCCACGCTCGCTTCATTCTCTTTGAGAGCTGCTTTGCAGAGAAAGAAGCGGGCATGGCTCACCCAGAGCTGCCACTACTTTGCAACAGCCGAGGACAGAAGAGTTCACTCAGGAGCAACGCCAGCAAGGAAGGCGGCTGGGTCGGAGGGAGGTGTAGCCCGAGCTCTCTGGGATGGGTAAACAAGTGTGGGGATGTGAACGGGAGTAGACTTGGCCCTCCACATGTTGCATCCCCCTCCCCCTACTTTTTAATTGTAGTTAAAAAACTAATTAAGTTAATTAATTTATTTATTTATAATTAGACTTCTATACCGCCCTTCTCCGGAAAGACTCAGGGCAGTGTACAGCCATATTAAAACATATAGAATTAGAAAGTTTAAAACCAATTAAAATCAAATATATAAAATGGCTCAAAAATTTAAAACATTTAATAACAATGTACCTACCTATATAGTTTAAGTTTAAAATATTTGGCTCTCAAAAGAAATTTCAATCGTTGTACTGTTGATATTTGGCTCTGTTGACTAATGAGTTTACCAACCACTGTTCTAACCCAACCCCAGCTCAAGCCGAAGGCCTTATACCATTCCAGACAAATGGCTGACCAATCTCTTCTTGAAAATCTCCAGTGATGTAAGCTGTAAGCTGCTCCAAGTAAAGCTGCCTTTTGCAGTTTACTGATGGTGATTTTGTCAATGCTGATTCAAGTGGTGCTCCAGATATTTTGGATTGTACCAAAGGAGGCAATTGATACTATCCTATCTTTTGTTTGCCATAATCATTCAATTTCTGTGCTTTCCATTTTGTTATTTTCTCTAGTTCTTTCTCTCTTGTTCTGCTGTCTCCAGGCACTGCCATGTCCACTAGCCAGACATTTTTGTCTTTCTTACCAACAATTGTTATGTCTGGGGTGTTATGTGGGAGGTGCTTGTCTGTTTAAATTCTAAAGCCCCAAAGTACTCTAGTTTGTTCATTTTCTATTACTTTGTCTATTTAGTGGTCCACCAGTTCTTACTTTGTAGGTAAATGGTATTTCTTGCAGATATTCCAATGCACCATTGTTGCTACATTGTCATGCCATTGTTTATAGTTGTTTATAGTTAATGTTTGTTCCACTGTATTACTCTGATGGCACAGAGTAGCATTATAACAAAAATAACATTATTTTTGCTATCATTGGTAACAATTGTTCGTTTTTTTACATCTTTTCAGATCTGAGCAATGATGAAGACTATGTCCAGTGGGAACTGCACCTTGAATGTGCCAGCCAAGAATTCCTACCGGATGGTTGTATTGGGAGCCTCCAGAGTGGGCAAGAGTTCCATTGTCTCTCGGTTTCTCAATGGCCGCTTTGATGACCAGTACACACCCACCATTGAGGATTTCCACCGCAAAGTTTACAACATTCGAGGCGACATGTATCAGCTGGACATCTTGGATACATCTGGGAATCATCCATTCCCTGCCATGAGGAGGCTCTCCATTCTCACAGGTTAGAAACAATAGATATTAGTGATTATGACAAACTTAACTTGCCACTGATAAGCCTCACATGTATGTGAGGCTTATCAGTGGCAAGTTAAGTTTGTCATAATCAGGGCTGATCACTTTTTGGGAGAAGAAGCAGGCTGAGGATGCTTGGGAAAATCCAAAGTTAAAAGGAAAAGGCAAAAATTGCCCCATGTTAAGTCTAAATCCTATCTTTAAGAGGCAACCACCAATCTCCCAAAGACTAAATCAGATGCTTTTGGGCAAGAAGACTTTGGCCTTGGTTTTCATGGACAAACAAACTCTGGTGGCATGACAAGCTGCTCTGAAAATTCAAACGTATTTCTAGAGCAGCATGTGAGATAACACTAATATCTATTGTTCAAAGAGGACCAAACCATCTTTGGTTATATATGAGCCCACCAATGATCTTTGGTATGTGATAGTGGTGGGATTCACTTTTTTTTATTACCGGTTCTGTGGGCGTGGCATTGCTTGGTGGGCATGGCAGGGGAAGGATTCTGTAACATCTCCATTCCCACCCCACTCCAGGGGAAGGTTATTGCAAAATCCCCATTTCCTCCCGATCAGCTGGGATTCGGGAGGCAGAGAATAGATGGGGGTGGGGTCAGCCAGAGGTAGTAATTACCAGTTCTCTGAACTACTCAAAATTTCTACTACCAGTTCTCCAGAACTGGTCAGAACCTGCTGAATACCACCTCTGGTATGTGAGCCCAGCAATGCATCTGAAATGGACTTTTCTATTCACAGCTATTGATTCTTTTATATTTATATAGAAATAGTCCTGGATTCATGACCACAGTTGAGCCCAAAATTTCCATTGCTAAGCCAGACAGTTGTTAAGTGACATTTAATAACCCTTTTTTTGCCACAGCTGTTAGGCGAATCACTGCAGATGTTAAGTTAGTAACACGGTTGTTAAGTGAATCGGGCTTCCCCATTGACTTTGCTTGTTAGAAGTTGCAAAAAGTGATCACATGACACTGGGACCCTGCAGTTGTCATAAATATGTGCCAGTTGCCAAATGTCAAAATTTTGATTATGTGACCATGGGAATGGTGCAATAGTATTAAGTGTGAAAAACTATCATGTCACTTTTTTCAGTTCTGTTGTAACTTTGAATAGTCTCTAAACAAATGGTTTTAAGTAAAAAAACTATGTGTATTAGGATTGGCTAAAGATAGACATGCATAATAAATTAAAACCAGTTGATTCAATCTTATATTTAATATAAGTGGATCACACAGCAACTATTTCCTTTTTCAGGCTTATCTGCATCAATCATTACACGAAGCATTGAGATTGGACAATACTATGCATCATCATTGTTTACGGAATATAAAAAACAGCAACCACAGTCAGATAGTTTGCTGTTAGAATTTATGAAATGTAGATGCCAAACAATAGCAAGGGAGCAATATAGAGAGACTGATATATGGAAAATTGCAAAAAGTAAAAAGGGAACTTGAAGAAAACTTGGTCGCCACAATGTAAAAAAGATGTGGAGACTCTAGAAAAAGTGCAAAGAAGAGCAACAAAGAGGATTAGGGGACTGGAGGCTTAAAACATATGAAGAACCATTGCAGGAACTGGGTATGTCTAGTTTAATGAAAGGAAGGACCAGAGGTGACATGATAGCAGTGTTCCAATATCTCAGGGGCTGCCACAAAGAAGAGGGAGTCAAGCTATTCTCCAAAGCACCTGAGGGCAGGACAAGAAGCAATGGGTGGAAACTAATCAAAGAGAGAAGCAACCTAGAACTAAGGAGAAATATCCTGACAGTTAGAATAATTAATCAGTGGAACAACTTGCCTCCAAAAGTTGTGAATGCTCCAACACTGGAAGTTTTTAAGAAGAGATTGGATAACCATTTGTCTGAAGTGGTGTAGGGTTTCCTGCCTAGGCAGGGGTTTGGACTAGAAGACCTCCAAGGTCCCTTCCAACTCTCTTATTCTGTATTCTAAAACATTGGAAGATTGGGCAAGACATGTTTTAGATACTGAATGCATTAAACTTCACATGTTGTTCAGTATTTAGTTCTTAGAGGTAGACAAGATAGAAGAAAAATAATATTAGTAATAGTATCAATTCAATTTTTCACTGAAAAGAATGCCACTACAGAAAAAATAAGGTTAAAATTCCCCTTGATGACATAGAAGCTTTGCAACCTGAATTCATTGCACTGCATCTATACATTAATGGGTTCCTTAATTCTGTGAATTCTTAAATATCTATTTTATTTAAATATCCTGAATGTTTTTCTTTTATTGCCACTGTCCCCCACCTTTACACTCTCTACTTATGCTAGACTTTAGCTCTCACCTTCCTAGGTAGTATGGCTTTTGATTGGAAAAGTATTAAGTATTTTGGGCTTTGAACTCTGACAAATAGAAGTCACTAGACTGCAAATTCTGCCATAAAATCTATAGAATTTGTAATAGTTTTGCTGTCTGCTGTTTTTAAACACATATTTCTGTATGATAAAATTGTAACCTACTGCGTTTATTATTTCTTGTTGAAATATTGCAGGAGATGTTTTCATTCTTGTATTCAGTTTGGACAACAGAGAATCCTTTGATGAGGTCAAGAGGCTCCAGAATCAGATCCTTGAAGTCAAATCTTGTCTGAAGAACAAAACCAAGGAAACGGGGGATCTGCCTATGGTGATCTGTGGTAACAAGAATGATCATGGTGAACTCTATCGCCAAGTGAGTTCTGATGAAGCTGAGAAGCTTGTCTCCAGTGATGAGAACTGTGCATACTTTGAAGTCTCAGCCAAGAAAAACACCAATGTGAACGAGATGTTCTATGTTCTTTTCAGCATGGCCAAACTACCCCATGAAATGAGTCCTGCTCTTCATAGGAAGATCTCTGTGCAGTATGGTGATGCTTTCCACCAAAAGTCCTTCAGGATGCATAGGGTCAAAGAGACAGATGCCTTTGGCATGATTTCCCCCTTTGCTCGTCGACCCAGTGTCAACAGTGATCTGAAATACATAAAATCCAAAGTCCTCAGAGAAGGACAAGCAAGGGAGAGAGAGAAATGCACAATCCAGTAAAAGAAGCTCCATTGAGAAGGGGAGTCCACAGTATATGTGCAGTGCCTTAAAGAAAGTGGCTGAAGAGAGACAGTCTGAAAATATTTACTGAATCATGGGTGACAACAGTGGTCATGAAAATACTTTGGCTAGAGCATTGTACCATTTCTGTAAAGATATAAATAAATTAAAACACAGCATTGTAAATACTTGAAGCTGCTATGGTATATACTGTAACTGCCATACACAGCCCTTATTATTTGGTCTTTTGGTTTTTGTATTTTTTTAACAAAAAAAAAAAACACCCCCTCTTAATTTTCTCTTTTTGTTTTCCTTTGTTTCAAGAAGCTTTAAGTTATAAAGAAATTTGAACTTCAATTTTTTATAAAAACAGTTAAAAGACGGGCCTGATTTGTACAGGTTTCTTGAGTAGCCATCATGCAGGAGACAATCTGATAACAAGATGAAAACTGGGTGTTGTATTCCTCCAATTCCTCATCCAAAGAAGATTCAAACATTCTGAGGAAAATATACTTCTTTGTGCCAATGATAATTCTTCATCGTGTCGCTACAAATACTACATTTCATAATTTTTCCCTGGTTTTTTTGCAAATGACAAAGTGTTTGTTTTAATTAAATTAATGTGTGAATTAGTTGGCAAGTATGATCTAGAAATACCAGCTGATTTTCAGTTATATAATATGTAAATAATTGAAATATATGTACTGTAAGAACAGCACACCTGTTTCATGTGATTTTCTGTTCCTAAAAAACATCATATCCATATACTTGGAAACTTTTATTGTACATCCATCCAATGATTCTGCTTTCTACCATTCTGGTAATAATGACATTGGATGTGCAATGCCAGGTGTTTTACTCTATCCTCAAACTTTCTCACATTAAAGTTGTAAACCTGTGGAGATTAATCTGAGAGTAAACCCAATTGAATTTAGTAGAACTTTATATAAACACACACGAGATTGTGGTATAAGGCTCTAGGCCAATGTAGACTGAAAATAGGACTAAACACTTAAGCATTCATCGCTGAACAAAGCTTGCACTTAAGGCTGAGCAAGTAGTTCTTAAACAATGATGTTTATTTTTCATTAAAAATATCTGACCAGCAGCTACATTTTTCCCATGTTCAAATGGTTGAGAAGTTTCTGGTTTGTGGTGTAGCTATTTATTTGCAAAAAGAAGGTTCAGTTTAAATTTAACATGACTGTCTTCCAAGCCATGTCCATTGTCCATGTACCGCAATACTGAATGCCCCATAATACAGAGTGAGTAAGAGCTCATATACTTTTATAATAAAAACATAGCTTTTCTTTCCTCAACCTGCTGCCTTTTAGATCAATTGGGTCTATCAGGAATTCTTTGGCCTTTGCTTGGAATTAGTCCAAAATATCTGGAGGGAACCAAGTTGAAGACATCTGATGTATCTATTTCCATTTTTTTAAAAAAAAAACAAAACCTTAATATTGGTGGATTTCTTCCAGACAATCTGTTTACCAGAATGTTTGTGGAGAAAAAGAGCACTGTCAGAATTAGCTTGGATTATTACTAAAAGCCTACTTGATTATTTTATCTGACTCTTGAATAAGTCTTAGTATCTATAGTACCCATGTGAATAAGAATTAGAGTTTGTTCTGAGCCAGCTGCCTAAATGTCTTTCCTTCTTTCTTAGTGTTCTTTTTTTCTTGCTCTTTTTTCAGCTATGATAATTCTCTGTTCATAATGGTCATATATCAGAACAGAACTGAATTTTGCATACCTCAGAATTATTAAGAAGGTTTGAACCCATTTGTCTTGAATAGGGAGATATTGTAGGGGATAATGGGGACACAATTGTGCTAACCCAGGTCCCTCCTGCCCCCATCAGTCTCAATGACGTCCTTCCTTCCTTCCTCCCTCCCTCCCTCCCTCCCTCCCTCCCTCCCTCCCTTCCTTCCTTCCTTCCTTCCTTCCTTCCTTCCTTCCTTCCTTCCTTCCCTTTGACTAATAGAAGTTTTTTTATAAAATTACCTCAGACATGAATGTGTACTGTAATGTATGTGGTTGTGTATGCACATACGTGCCTAGCAGGGAGAAGAGACACTTCAGTCTCCGTAATGTTAACCACCTGTCCACAATGTAGATTTCTAAAATGCTCTACCAGCCCTTGAATATATCACACCTCTTTGTAATATTATACCTCATACACTGTATATATGTGAATAGTACTGTGTGCTTTAATTGGCAACGCAAGCTTTACTGGCATAAAGAAAAGTTCACTCTGACATCTAATAAGTAAGGTGAGTATATGTAGAAGTTCTTGTGGGACAAAATGGTCTCCTATCTATTTCTACAAGATTACATACTTCCTTGTTTGTTATATAAAATTCAATATTGCTAATTTCCTAGTGCCATTTCAGCCATTAATGACATTTTGAAAAGATTCTGCATTTGTATAGATGTTTTTCTCTCTTTCAATAAATGTGATCTATTTATTAACTGTGTCCTGGATTTATTTATTTTTATAAAAATGTGATCAGGTAGCTGATTTGCTCTGGATGGCCAGCAGTTTAATAGCAAATTACCATGCATCGAATCACACAATTTACAGGAGTGTACAAGAGAGCAAGCGATGACTTACACATTTGCATCAAAAATTGTGATGCAAAATTGTGTGATTGTGTGCAATCCTATGCATCATTGCATATTATAGATGCTACTGACACCATTGTTCTAATATAGATTCATAGGAATGTTCCAATTGAAAAATAACTATTTAAATTAATGGGTGGATTCTCAGCAATAGAAAAACAATTTTCCTCACTATAGACATTGTAAGGTTTCTTATCAAAGGGGAACCCACAGCCATATAAATGTAATAATTTAAATAAATAATAGCCATTTACCGCCACAGAAGTTAATGCTGGCCAAAGGCCCATCAAACTGAACTAGGTCAATCCTGATTGAAGGATAACTTTGGAAATACAAAGAAATTTTGCTTCTGGAGAACTAGAGAAATTTGTCTGAGGCAGCCTGACATCTGAGACAATATAACAATAGATCCTGGTTTCTGTAGCAACCAACATTTCCTGAGCAATTCCACAAAATGATAACCAGTCATGCCTGCAGGAGAAGAAAAGCAGGAATATTGGAATCTGCCCCATGTCTTTTATCTACTGCCCAATAGAATAACTTCAGACAGCTCACATTTATAGAGGAACAGAAAGGATAAATAATGTTTACTTCTTTTCCCTTCCTTGCTGGTCTTATGTCGTTATCACCTGAAGCCATTCTTACCATGAGTGGCTTGCAATTATTGCTACAATTCTTAATTAACATGATCCATCAGCTGCAATTATATTAGCAAAAGTTACATGAAACAGAATCTACAGAGCTACAAAATTAATGAAATTGGGGCTAGGGGAGATAGATCCCCCTCATTTCAAGGTATTACACATTGCTTGGTTCAGGTAATGGTTATATCCACTTACATGGGGAAGGGGTCAGTCCAGGAGCAAAAGATTTGAGTTCAAAGTCACAGTGAGCTATGAGTGTCTTTTGTCTCACTCATCATTAAAGTATTTGAGAGATGTATAGCCTTATGTAATGAACTGAGATCCCCAGAAGAAGGATAAGATAAAATAAATATGTCTTGCAGACAGAAAATAAAGATCCTTTATTTGCAGGAGTGAGTCACATTTTCTGTGGTTTCCTATTTCTCTCTCTCTCTTTTTTTTCATTTGTGCTTCATTACTGCACATTTGTCTGAGAATTTTTCTGACAAAAACCATAGCACAAAATTATTATTAATATATACAGGTAGTCCTCAAACTACGATCACAGTTTGAGTTCAAAATTTCTGTTGCCAAGTGAGACAGTTGTTAAGTGAATTTTGCCCCATTTTAGAACCTTCTTGCCACAGTTGTTAAATGAATCACTGCGGTTAAGTTAGTAACAAGGTTGTTAAGTGAATCTGGCTTCCCCGTTGATTTTGCTTGTCAGAAGGTCGCAAAAGGTGATCGTATGACCCTGGGATACTGCAAATGTCATAAATATGAGTCAGTTGCTAAGCATCTGAAATTTGATCACATGATCATGGAGAGGCTGCAACAGTCATTAGTGTGAAAAACGGTCATAGGTCACTCTTTTTCAGAGCCGTTATAAGTTCAAACAGTCACTAAATGAACTGTTGTAAATTGAGGATTACCTGTGTTTTGTTTTATTTTATTTTATTTTAATTTGATTTATATGCCGCCCTTCTCCGGAGACTCAGGGCGGCTTACAATGCGTTAAGCAATAGCCTTCATACTTTTGTATATTTATACAAAGTCAGTTTATTGCCCCCACAATATGGGTCCTCATTTTACCTACCTTAGAAAGGATGGAAGGCTGAGTCAATCTTGAGCCTGGTGAGATTTGAACTTACAGTAATTGCAGACAGCTTGATGTTAATAACAGTGCTTTAGTCTGCTGCACCACCAGTGTCTTACATTAATATTTTTGCTAATACATAAGTCCTATAACTTATACATTTAGGAGCCCTGGTGGTGCAATGGTTAGAATGCAGTATTGCAAGCTAACTCTGCCCATGGCCAGGAGTTCGATCCTGATGGGCTCAAGCCTTCCATCCTTCTGAGGTCTGTAAAATGAGGACCCAGATTGTTGGGGGCAAGGTGCTGACTCTGTAAACTGCTTAGAGAGGGTTGTAGAGCACTATGAAGCAGTAGTGCATCTGTTAAAAGACTGCTAACTTTGCTTTAAAAGGAAAGGCAGACAAATTTCTCTTTCTCTGATAGGTAGTTTAAGAAGTATACACATTAAAAAGTACTGGGCAGAGAAATAACAAATGCTAAGAAAAAATACTATATACTGTTATCTCCCTGATTTTACTAAGGAACTTCTGTTGAAGACTCTGTTAACCATACTCTAGTTCTAGTATTGTCTGGGTATTTATACATGACTTCCTTGGGACTGTTTCCAAGATTGTAATTATATTATGCATCCCACCTTATTAGCTCTTGGGTTTTATTTTTTAAGTTCAGTTCCAGTGGTCCTAACAATTTCATAAGCACTTAGGCCTCACCATATGTTTCAAATATAAGGCGAGTGTTTTAATCTGAGCCACATCTCAGACACTTTAGTCCTGGAATATCTGAATTCATACAACTTGTGCTTGCATCTGTGTTTTGTTATTAAAGATCATGCCCACATGGACAAGATAAATAGCATTAACACATACCAGGTAAGATTTCCAGATCTCTGTGGAATGAGTTAAAAATAACTTTAGCCCTAATTAGAAATTTGCTTTACATGCCATAGTCTATTAAAGAGTCAGACTTTCTTCTCTTGCTACGTCTTCTCTATTTTGTTCATCAGATTAAATTATTATGTATTCATTTTCATGTATCCAAGAAACAAAATGTCTAGAAGGTCTGAAAAAATGCACCTGTTTTGCACCTGGAAAGTCTAGTTCAATCCCACACTATGAGACAGGGATGGGGAAATTGTCTGATACCTGAACAGCCATAACAAACTTGTATATCCAGATTCTGATATAAATTGTCCTTTGAAGAAGTTGGAGAACACATCATTTCTTCCTCCACCCACCCACCCACCCAAAATATGTATTATTATTTTAATTCTATTAGAATTTTTCAAAACAAAAAAGGAGGAAAAATAAAAAATAGAGAGATATGAAAACAGAAGAAAACATACAAAATTATGCCTTCTACCTTTCTTTCTCTCAAGCAGTTACCATTTCATTGTTTGCTTCATCTTCTTCGATCTTTTTAAATCCCCAAATCCAGAAATCAATTCAGTATTTTCTTCACACAACAAAAAATCCATATAAAGTCTCCAGTCTTTAAAAAAATGTCTTTTATCATTTTTTTCTAACTAAACTGATAATCACAATTCAGTTAATTTTATAATTATAACACACACACATCTATATATATATAGTTTTATTAATTTTTTAAAAGAAAGATAAAAGGAAGAAGGAAGGAAGGAAGGAAGGAAGGAAGGAAGGAAGGAAGGAAGGAAAAATGATTAAAATTGGGAAAAGAAGAAAAATAGAAAAGAAAAAAGTAGCTTTCGGTGTTCTTTACAGTAGTTATAAGTACAATGATGAATTTAGCTCTTGCTCTATGGTTACGACATAACTCTCTTCTTTCTATAATCTATTTTGTCTATTCATGAAATTTGTAAATGGTAAATTCAGTTTTTTTCTTTTACCCAACAGACTCTTAGCTACTCAACTTACAAGTCATCCACAAAAATCTCACTTTTTGCAATTCACTTACAAGGAGCAGCAGTTCAGACTGCAAGTAGGTGATCTCATAATCTCTCCTTTTTCTAAAATGACTACATTGGCCAGAATTCACCATCTGGCTGCTGATTTCCCTCTCTATACCATCCCTGCTCCTTCAGGGACATTTAGCTCACCATTCATGCTCAACAAAAGCCATTTCATTATTTATTCTATCCTTGTTCATATAATAATATTGCTGCATTTACCATACACAATATTCATTTCTCATATTCTTTTTCTAATTCCATGCCCATATATCCAATAGGATCTATTGTTCAAAACAATATGTATGCCTTGTAAAGCAGAATGAACCAATAATCTCTACTATAACTTATTGCCAAATTGCATTTTAATGAGACAGTACTGGAAGTTGAAAAAATAACTTTATGTGTTACGTTCAGAATTACTTGCAGGAAACCAGAAAGACATGAATCTTTGACGTTCATACATGATACCAATGGAAATGAATATATGTAGCTCAGGATTGAACTGTGGAGCACTAAGGACTCCACAGACATGAATCTGTTATGAATTTCCTCCAAACAATGTGGGCCCTTCTCCCATTACCATACTTTCTTAAGGATCTTCCCTCGAGTCATGTCTCTGTCTGATCATGTCCAAATGCAATTTTGTCCCATCAACTTTCTGGATAATATCAACCTCCAAAGATCTAAACAGGGAATCAGTTCAGAAACATTCTCAATCTCCAATAGAGGAGAAGGGCTCATCAACTCTAGCATCTTATTTCTCACAATGGTCAGCTATTTGCTTCTACTGTATGAAAGTGACTGAGGTTCAGCAGCTTCAGACCTTTGTAAATCTATTTCTGGCTTTACAGTAGATTGGAAACCACAGTAAAACTGCTCTTTTCTTTGAAACTGTGGAGCACATAAATGTACACAGCAGGAAGTAAGAACACAGATGGGTGCAATACAAGAAATGTATTTTATTGCCCTTTTGGGTGGAATGAGACATGAGGGGGGTGTTTTTACTGCAGGATTTGCAGCTGTTAATTAAATGATATCCTTTGCTCTTTGTTCTTAGCATTGGCAGAAATAAAAATGAATGCAATTCATTTTCAAGCCTTTTTTGACGGGTTGAGTGGCTATTCTTCTATTTCACTGAGCAACTTGAAGCTTTGGTATTATGGAACAGCTGGACAGATAGACAAAATACACATATTGC